ATAAATTGTCCTGATTAAAACGACGCCAAATATAACAAATGAATTTTCCTGCAAGAGCAAAGAGATTGTGTAATACTCGTTATAAATCGGCAGGATTACGATGAAACGTCTCCTCAGAGCGTAATCATAAAATATACATTTATCGCATCGAGTTTCCATCATATTCTTTAGAGTACCTTATCCGTGATTTTACGTAATAACACGGAACTTGATCTTTTTCCACGGCCTCCTTAAACCGTTTACATGAAAATCAACAGGCTAGAGGAAGCGACGGTTGTTCTCGGCCCGGTCCCTCTCTCCGATGGCCGATTTATTAGATTTTCTGTGCGGCTGCGAAACCTTTTTACAACTGAACCGAACACGCGGCTTTTGTATCTTAGTCGGCTTCTGTGTTGTTCACGGTGGTCCACTCTCCCCTATGTTTCGTCACGGCTCACGTGTTCAACGAAAATGCCTCACAGAATCTCCATAAAAATTCACACCGTAATTAATCGAAATATTCAATATGAATAGAAAGTAGCTGATAATAAAGCGTGTCAAATTTCCCTTATCGGAGAGGGAAATATTTTATTGGTAAGGCGTTTCCATGCAAGATCGTATCGACGTCCTTGCGTATTCGGTTATTTACGAGTAGCTGGATCGATCAGTTTCTTCGCACGAGAAGTTCAAGCAGGCTGGGACGCGAGAAATTTTTCTCGCCCCGAGCATTTACCCGCCGCTTCACCGACCCTTTTATGTTCGTTGTTATCGGATTGAGATGGAGAGCGTTAAAGCATTGCCCGATAATGCAAAACTACCGGGATGAACAAATTGATCGGTCCTCTCGACGAGAGTCGATTGTTACCAACGGGTCGAATCGAATTTTCAATTTTCTGAATGAATCCTTTTTTCGGTATCTTTAATTGGGGATCTGTAGATTTAATGTAATCACTGCTTCGTTCGATAGAAGCTAGATTATTCATGAAAATGTCTCATTGCGCAATTCGAAATTGGATTAACGCACAATGTTGACCACTACTATACAAATCTAATTTAGTCCCAGTTTGTTTTCGGCGAATATCTAGTTTTTTTAGTTCAATAGAACTTACTATTAGATGACTACTTAGATGAGTAAATGCAGTCATACACTTTAACAATTTCTTAGTAAGATTATGCTTGATAAAATTTCTATCGTTAATTATTGTATAATACGGATTAATTATTGTAAATTATTTCTATCGTTAATTATTGTATAATACGGAGTTATTGTATAATACGGATTTTTATCGATATGAAATGGAATATTGAATGTTGGAGATTTCCTTGAGTCCAAGGCATTCTCGTAAGAGACATTAACAGTAGCGAGTGCAAAACGCGTAATGAGTTTACTGCAAGTCTAATTATCAATATACTTATCTGTGGCTAATTATCGGTCGGATGTCACACAAAGGGTCCGTGTACACGTACACTCTCGACTGGGTCAAAGACGTCAACTGCATACCAAACGAATGCATAATTTTCGAGCGGAAATTTCAATACGTCCAGCAATTGCTTTCGCGCACCGGTTGAAAATCTCGTTGTTGAAACAATAGCTCGTTTTATTACTCGACCTCGATCCCTTATGTAAGCGTAGGTATTAATTTCAAATATCCACTGATGAATAGAGATGCAATTCGTCGTTCGATCCACCTGTCTATCTGTTGCTTATGCGCTTTAACCATTTAATTCTTAAATGATGAAAATAATGAAAAATTTCGTATCAGTCAAAGAGTCGTCGGTACATTTGTTAATTAGAGTGGCGAGGTGGTAAATATTTCAGCAGTTAATGCAATTACGCTTTGCGATCAATATTTTTGTCGTCTATGATTTATACTGTGCGTCGATCGGAAATAAATATCCCTTTACTCGATTGGCTTTCGATTGGAAACGATGCGCGAAATTCATATCCGATCCGTCGTATTAAATTCGTTGCCCGACCGGAACGTAAATATTTAAACACCCCCGCTTTGCAGTGCAATTTCCGTATCAATATTTCATTGCACTGGCTCCGAGAAATTTACAGGATGACGATTCTTCCCTTACCTTAACACTAGATTACCCAAGGAAGTCATTTTGACTGCTTTTGGGCAAATGTACAAATAATAATGCATAA